AGAAAATATTTTTTATTTTTAATCAAAATCTATTTTATTAATAAACCTTTTTAAATGTAGATACTTTTTTGGTATATTTGTTTCATTTTATATATGTAAATACTTATTTAGTTTAAAAAAGGTTTAAAGACTTAATCGCTAAAAATATAAAAGTTTGTTAGTTTTTTTTCCATGTTTTTCCCCCTTATTTTATCACATTATTCAGTTTTATAGGTTATAAAAATGTATCTAACAGGTTTTAAAAAGTCCAAGAATTTATTTAACAGGTTTTGAATGTCTAAGGACTTATTTGTTCCAAAAAAATTATCCAATAACTTAATCATTCCAAACACTAAAGCCCATTGGGTTTTTAAGACTTTACCCTCAAATTAAATATTTAAAAATTCTTGTTTTTTTGTGTGTAAAGAAGATTAAATAATGAAATCATTTATTTTTTGTTTAATAATATAATTCTTTTATAAAGATAATATTTAATATTTTGTTAGAATTCAATGATTTTTCTAAATATATTTTAAATTTTTTATATTTAAAATGAGATATCTATCCAGTATTCGATTATGTTTATCTGTAGTTAGTTACACGAATTCAAACATGAAACTTTAATAAGTTGTACATACGGACAATTTACTTGTAATCTTGAATTTTAAGTAATATACATCAATAAACAGTACTTAATGACAACGTATAAAAAATGGTTTTTAAGAATTTTTATCAAATGTTTTATAACATAGTATAAATATGTTACAATAAATTTTTAAGACGAAGATATATATATATATATATATTATATATATATAACCTAACAAACTATATTTTAAAAAAACAATGTGCCTTTGTATTAAATTGACATATATTATATTTATAAAACATTTTTAACAACTATTTTACAAGTCGTACAAGTGATTATGAAAGTGGGATACAAAACCATGTATTTCGGCACTTGTTGACTATGGTTTGCTTGATGTGCAAGTTTTGTTTGTTTTCATATTACAGACGAGTTTTCTTTTTCTTATTTTAATCTCTAAAATTATATTAATATTTAAATATCATACAATTGAATTTTATATGAATTTATCAATTGAATGATAAAATAATATAAATTATTGTTACCGGTTTATTCACATATTTAGATATTTAAGAGGGTGTTTGAGATTGTTTATAAAAATAACTTATTGACTTATTTCGATGTGACATCAGTAATAAGCACTTTTGAGTATTTAGATAAACATTTTATACCGGTAATAAATTTTTTTTTTAAAAAGTTAAACCATTATAATTTATAATAAGTTGATAAAGACTTTTGTATAAAAGAATAAGTTGTTTCAAATAAGCAATCCCAAACACTCCCTAAACATCTATTATTTCATTCGCGGCTTTTATCTACCTAACGCTCAATCAGCCAGATTTACAATCATATTTTTATTTTTGTTCTAATTTATGAAATCATATTATTTTATTTTATCAAGGGTAAAAGAACTGATCATACATTTTTTTTTTGTTAATTGTGTTTGTCTGATTCAGCTACATGTATCTTGACTAATCTCATAAGACTTTGTCGTTCTAGAGAACAACCATAAAAATACTTATTGGTGTTGGAGGGGTCGAATTATTGATCTCTGTGCAGGAGACCCAAATGCTCATATCTTATTACTGGTGAGCTGTTAATTAATCATGTCTTGAGTTTGCTTTCTATTGGTCATTAAGTCGAGTCCCCTATTATTATGACTATTTACTTTAGGATCTTATAAAATTAGTTGAGTTGCAGCCTGCATGCAAGCTGGTCGGATACACAAATGCAGGAATTGGGGTTATGGATATGATGATAGTTAGAGGGGGTGGTTTGTAATCACTTCAAAGTATTGATCTAATTTTCCATTGACAGTGGCACATCTCGTAATTGTTATATAAAATCAATGGTATTTATATATCATGTTTTACACCCTTTTCACTCTCGGGAACTGCTGAATGAAATCATCAAAAACCCGCGCTTCTTCTTCTCTTGCATCTCCCAATTCTATAGATACACACAGATATATATATATATATATATATATATTCATACACAACACCCGTAACACACACACACAACGATATATATATATATATACATACACAACACCGTAACACACACACAACGATAGTAAAAATGGAATTGCAGAAGGGATTCAGGCTATTGTCTCAACAATACAAAGCTTTGTTCACGAAGAATTTGCTGCTCGCATGGCGGAACAAGAGAGCTACATTCCTTCAAGTGTTTTCATCAATATTCTTCATATTTTTGCTTTTCATTATTCAGAAAGCAATTGAAGCTCGATTCGGTTCTTCTACTGATTTCAATAGCGTACGTGATCCTGAGCCGCTAATCAATCCCCCGATCCTTCCGTGTGATGACAAGTATTACACTAGGTTTCCGTGTTTTGACTTTGTTTGGAGCGGCAATGACAGTGCGAGGATTGGATCGATTGTTGATGGAATCAGGGCTAATAATCCTGGTCGACCTATTCCTCTCACCAAGGTGGTCATCATTCATTCTCAATCTTTTTTACTTTGTGTCAAGTAATTATTTGCTCTTAGTTTCTTACGCAGAATTTTGTAAGAAATTTTATAGGATTTAAGACACCGTTAAAACATAAGCGTTTTTGTCTTTAAGAAACAATATATAGTAAGGTAGAATCATAGAATAGCATGGTTTTTGTTTTCAGTCTTTTCTTACTCCTGCTATATTTTATTTTGATTTGGGACCAAGTTATATCTTCCATTAGGTAAAACTTGTACCGGTTGATTTTCTATCATTAGGAATAGGAATTTGAGGTGGTTGGTAATAAATTTTTGCTCCAAAATTTAAGCTTTGACGTGCCTTCCGTTGAAGAAAACATTAATACTATTAACTTTCTATGTTTCATGTTCCATGTTATAAGATGTAGAACATCTTAGAATCTTATGTTTCTAGACAACGCATGCAATTCAAAAGGGTTGGGTCTTACTTGTGGGCTTGTTAATATCAGGGGAACTATTTGAGCTTCATCCATCTCGGTTGATTAATTGCCAATAAGTTCTAGTAATGCATCTTCTCAAAGGTTATGAATTAAATAGGTAGTAACCGTGACAGGAAACACACCCATATAGACAATTAAAAAGAAACAGTTCTTGCTGTTGTAGTCCCAGATTCAAGTAGCTCTTATAGTCCTTCAAATGAGAGATTATGTAATCTATACATCTTACCTGTGGCGAGTACAGCAGATGATTTCCATAATCCAACATTGAAAAACCTTATTCATTTATTTTTATTGATGTCAACGGGCAAAACATTTAAATATCATATGGAAGGGGTATAGAAGTTGTAGTCTTTAGATTGTGGAAAATATCAAGAAGGGGAATATTAACCCTTTACCAAATTGAGGTTTTCTGTGGGAAGTGGGAAGGGGGATAAATTTGGAATCCACATCATACCTATTACATAAGGTCCCTTTGGAAACAGGTTCTCATTGAAATGATCATTCATGACCTTGTGAGTAGGTGAAATCATTTCAAACAAGGAGGGAGGTGGATGAATGGTTTTTAGCTAATCCTATGAGCTGTCCTGGAGCTCTGCATTTTGTAGAGAGAAATGCTTCTGTAATTAGTTACGGTTTACAAACAAACTCTACACCTGCTGCGAAACGAGGAGATTTCGAAGATCCTACATTGAAATTCCAAATACCACTCCAAATTGCTGCTGAACGTGAAATTGCAAGGTCCTTAATAGGAGGTATTGAATAGCCCTTTATTTATTCTCTTTCTTGTACTTATAGACTCTTATGTCTTCTGCATTTCTGCAAATGACTGAGTGGCATTTTAAAATGTGACAGATCCTAGTTTCAGTTGGGTTGTTAATCTGAAGGAATTTGCACACCCTGTAGTTCAATCATTCTCTTCTGTGGGCACAGTAGGACCAAGTTTCTTCCTGGCGATTGCCATGTTCGGTTTTGTGTTACAGATTAGCTCTTTGATTGTTGAGAAAGAACTCAAGCTGCGCCAGGTACTAGGATTTTTTTTTACTAATGCTGCTTTACAGATTTGTAGTTATTTCTCAAGTTCTGTGTTATTTTCCTTACAGGCGATGGCTATGATGGGTTTGTATGATACAGCTTATTGGTTATCCTGGCTTACATGGGAGGGAGTTATCACCCTGTTTTCAGCTCTTTTCACAGTGCTCTTTGGAATGATGTTTCAGTTTGATTTCTTCTTAAACAACAGTTTTGAAGTTGTGTTTCTTGTGTTCTTCCTTTTCCAATTAAACATGGTAAGATTCTTTCTTTTTCCAAATTATATTTTGTAAATTCCTTATATTTGCTGGATTAGCATTTCTTAGCTTTTGCTGCCAGATTGGTTTTGCGTTCATGTTTTCATCATTCATCAGCAAATCCACTTCGTCTACAACTGTCGGTTTCTCTGTATATATAGTTGGCTTTCTGACACAGGTAAGTTCATATTTATTACTTTTATCAAAGGCTACTAACTTTGTCAAGTTTTGGATTTGAGATTTCTTTTTATATGCAGGTGGTTACCGTATTTGGATTTCCCTACAGTGACAGCTACCCTAACGCATACAGGATCATCTGGTCTTTCTTCCCGCCTAATCTTCTTGCTAAAGTCCTTCAGTTGCTTTCTGATGCTACTGCTGCTCCAGAAGACCCTGGTATCAGCTGGAGCGGTATAGGGAAATGCGCACCAAATGACACGGATTGTCTAATCACAGTGGTGTGTATTTAATTATTTATTTTTAAAAGGATGTATTTTAGTATTTAGTTATTTATATGCTGTTTGGCTACCATGTTTCTCTAGATTGGTTGAGTCTATGAGTTTCTCTCTCTCTCTCTCTCTCTCTCTCTCTCTCTCTCTCTCTTCCTATATAAATGCCTGCTGTCTGTTGGTAATTACTACCTATTTCTGCGTGTGGTATTCTGGGCCAAATATTGTTTCCATTTGAAGTCGACTCATTTCACATTTATTTCGTCTGTGTGGCAGAATGACATCTATATATGGCTTGTAGCAACGTTTATTCTGTGGGTTTCTCTGGCAATCTACTTCGATAATATACTGCCCAACTCATCAGGTGTAAGAAAACCAAGTTTCTACTTTTTGAACCCTGGATACTGGTCAGGGAGAGGTGGAGACAGGGTGGAAGGTAATTGAATGAACTAGTAGTCATATGTTCTTTTTACTCTGGGAATGTCTATTGGTTTCACTAAATCATCTTTATCGTTGCTTTGTTTAAGAGGGTCGGATTTGTAGTTGCATGCGCTCTCTTCCACCAATGGAACATACAGCTCCAGACGATGAGGATGTACTTCAAGAAGAAAACGTTGTAAAGCAGCAACATAGAGAAGGTGCTGTTGATCCAAATCTTGCAGTTCAGATACATGGTCTTGTGAAAGTATATCCTGGAACAACTAACATTGGTTGCTGCAGTTGCAAGAAAAGTGCACCTTACCATGCACTTAAGGTACATAATTAATTTCGTTTAAGGGTCTGCATATTCTTGAATAAGTGTTTTTTCAGTGTGTAAGGAAGCTGATTTAACTTCAAACTTATTTCAGGGCTTATGGGTGAACTTTCCGAAGGATCAGCTTTTTTGTCTTCTAGGACCCAATGGAGCTGGAAAAACTACGGCAATCAACTGCTTAACTGGAATCACACCAGTCACTGAAGGAGATGGTAACATGTTCTTTCAGTAGGGATGTTTACTGGTTACAATCTTGTTTGAAATGACAACAATATTAACTTAGATGTCTTATCAACAGCTCTCATATATGGACATTCCATCCGAAGCTCTATTGGTATGTCAAATATCCAGAAAATGATAGGTGTTTGCCCGCAGGTGACTACTTTCTTTCGACACTCTTTAGGAACCTTGAATCATCATTTTATTAGCAGCAATTATTCAGGATTGGAACTTATATTTTTGTCTATTGGTTGCAGTTTGATATTCTTTGGGATGCACTATCTGGACAAGAACACCTCTACCTATTTGCCAGTATCAAGGGGATGCCCCCTGCTTCACTTAAACTAGTGGGTCCTAAAACTATTTAATTTGGGTTTGTTGTCAGTTAAATCTATCAAGTTTCAACTGATTTCTCTGGTATCATTTATGTCAAACAAATTAGAGTGTATTGATTTTGTGCTTAGATCGTTTTTAAGGTGTATCCTCATTCCATCATTTTTATAGGTTGTGCAAAAATCATTGGCAGAGGTGAGACTCACTGAGGCAGCCAGAGTGAGAGCTCGTAGCTACAGTGGAGGAATGAAACGCCGCCTCAGTGTTGCTATAGCTCTAATTGGCGAACCAAAGTTGGTTATCTTAGATGAACCGGTAAAGAGAATTGAAATTTTTGTTCTTCACAGTTGTCATTCATATCCATCTTGGTCTAAACTTTATATCTTCAGACTACTGGTATGGACCCAATAACTCGAAGACATGTTTGGGACATCATTGAGAATGCAAAGAAAGGACGGGCTGTTATTCTAACGACACATTCAATGGAAGAAGCTGATATTTTAAGTGATAGAATAGGAATCATGACAAAAGGTAGGCTTAGCTGCATCGGAAATTCAATCAGGTTGAAGTCGAGATTTGGTACTGGTTACATTGCTAATATAAGCTTCTTGGGGAATGCGACTGTGTCCAGAGAAGATGTCACCGCTGCAACACATCATGAGGAAGTGAAGCTGTTCTTTAAAGAGGTATGCAGAATTACATAACTTGTCTGAGCTTTAACTGTGTTTTGTATTCTATTTTATGACACGTTGATCATTTTTACAGCGTTTAGATGTGCTTGCAAAAGAAGAAAATAAGTCCTTCCTGACATTTGTTATCCCCCATGACAAAGAGGGCTTACTAACGGTAAGACTTCTCATTCTGTTGGTATACTAGATTTGCTTTTTTTTTCTCAGACTTCTTCACCATAGTAATGCTACTTGAAACTGATGTTTGGGACTTAAATTACAGTTACAGTAGCATCTGTGCTTTATTATATGGGTCAACCATGTGATTTTACTTTTGCTTTTGTTCCTTTTCATTTTTGCTTGTGTCGTGTGGGTGGGATTGTGATTTGCTGGGAATTAGCATCATGGGTTTCATGGGATGATTGAGTTCGGGTTATCCAAGCGGCAACCACATAAATGGAAACACAACTGCTTTCATATTTTTCTAGTGATCATTGGTCCAAGAACCTGAAGAATAAAAGCCCATGTTACATAAGGGAAAATGATAGTCTAGAACTCTTAAAAAGCTTACAGTCTGTATTGGAAATTTGATGTTATTTCAGTAGACAAAACCTAAGTTGTGAGGTTGGATTTCTTGTTCTTCTAATTAGAATGCTCTTGCCTTAAAGCATGATGCTGGGCTGCGGATGGTTATAGTGTTAAAGGAAGCTTCTAAACAACTTAGCCTTGTTTTTGCAGGTGGTCCTAAAATTGAATATTTTCATTTTTAATATTTTTGGTCTTACTATACTATTAATTTCCATATTTCATTGAGTATTTATTTGTGATTACTGCATTACCAAACACTTCCCAGCAAAAAGTCACCACCCTTGTTTGCCTTATTGGGTAACATTGTTGGCCATCAAAATAGGTTGTTGGTAAGCGTCTCTTACCCGATAAATGCTAACCGGGTAAGAGTCGTTTCCATCACTTACCTGGTAAGTTTATTGGTCTTTGCCATGCTTCTTATTGGGTAAGATTATTGGTTCTTGCCATGCTAATCCAATAAGGTAAGTGAGACCTAGTAAGCACTTACCCGGTAAGTGTTCGGTAAACAGCCCCTAAGACTCACCGTTGATCGTAGCAAGATGCACCAACAAATGCATTGTATTGGTTATATTGTAAATTTTTGTAACATGCTATCGATTAATAACACATTATACATGTTAATTGATTTATGTGTATGCTTTCTTATTAGAAATTCTTTGAGGAGCTAGAAAATAGAGCGGAGGAATTTGGTATATCGGACATCCAATTGAGTCTTACAACTCTTGAAGAAGTCTTTCTCAACATTGCAAAGCAGGCAGAGTTTGAAAGTGCTGCAGCTGAAGGTAGATTCACCACATTGACTTTGTCATCAGGAACCTCTCTTCAAGTAAGTCTTTCATATCAAATTTCTATCATCTTTCTCTGTTGGCAATTTAGTGAAACAAGTCACATTAAGCAACCAGAGACCATATTAGTTCAGACTTCGATATCAAAAAAAGTTGCGACATTCGAGATATAACAAACTCACACAGTTCAATAATTTTTCTTTTATTTTGTTCAAATGGTTGAAAATATCTTCACTAATGAGAAAAATTAGGGGATCTTAACCTTGAGAGGTAGTTCAATAGGTAAGGCCTTGGTTTTGATCCCATTTTACTAGCTTTAGTCTCGGTTTGTCTAACAGCCTAACAGCTACTACCTGAGGCCACGAGGGATGGCTCAACTGGTAAGACATTGGCTTTGCTCCCTACATGTTACCGGTTCAAGTCCTCTCGGGGCCACCAGAGGGTTTGTCCGACCGTTAACAGTAAGGCCTTTTGGGATTAGTTGAGGTGGGCGCAAGCTGGTCCGAAAGCCCCCACCCAGGGTTAGAAAAAAAAATGACTGATGGCTACACAATCTAATTTGATTTCAAACTTCTCAAAATATTATGTTAGCATCTAGCATTAATCCAGCTTGAAATAACCTCAGAAACCGCCATAATTTTATTCAGATACCAGTTGGAGCAAGATACATAGGAATTCCAGGAACAGTTTCTTCAGAGAATTCGAGAGGAGTTATGGTGGAAGTTTTCTGGGGGCAAGATGATGCAGGTACCCTCTGCATTTCAGGCCACTCAAACGAAACACCGATACCGCCCAACGTTCAACTAGGAGATGTTCCATCATCCCACACCAGAAGAAACTTGTTAGGCCGATCTGAGCCAGCTCGTGGAATCGTTATTGATCCAAATGAAATTGGAAATACAACATCTCGAGGAGGTGAAGCTTCAGTTGAGTAGCATGTATTATAAAATCGTCCTTCAAGCCGTACAAATGTATACCATCAGGAATTTACAGCTCGATCTGTATGGTGTTATTGTGAGTAATCGGGCGATCAATAAGTCATCGGTATTTAAGTTATAGTGAGGTCGTTTTTCGATAGAATAAGTCATTTCCGTCGTTCGGATTGTTTGTATGTGTAGTTCATTGTAATTATTGTTTATAGTTTTTGGGATTTGTGGGTGCAATTGAAGTATTGCTAGTTGATAATCATCATGATAGCAGCTGGATGACGAGATTGTGTTTGAGACGTGAAATTTATTTCCAAATCGAGTTCACTTCTCAAAAATGCTACCAATTCCTAATCCATTCTATTATCTATATGAGAATTGTTCAAATAAAAACTACTCAATTTGTAAAAACCGTAAAAACCTTATTTAATCAATCATAATTTTTCATTTTGTTTATTTTTTTTAATTATGAGAGGTTGATTAACCATTTTTAGAAATACATGAAACAGTTTTATTAAAATTTCATTAAATATTATATGAAACAATTTCATAACCATATATGAAATAAAGTCATCAAAAAAGTATTATATGAAACAATTTCACAAGATAAACAATTTCATAAGATTAAACAATGAAATCGATGTATGAGAGTTGTTTGTACGGTTTTTACAAATGATGGTGGTTTTCATTTGATCGATCCTCCTATCTATATATAGTGTAACCAACATGGAAAAAAGTGTTCTTTTCAAGGATTTACCTAAAAATAATTTATTGACTTATTCTGGTGTGAAACCGGTAAAAAACATTTTTGAGTGTATGGATAAACAGCTTACATCGGTGTCAAACCGATGATAAGAAGTTTTTGAAGAAGTTAAACCATTCTAACTTATAATAAATTGATAATCATTTTTCTAAAAAAATATAAGTTGTTTCAAATAAGCAATCATAAATACCCGAAAATCAAGTATACAAAGTTTCCTTAATTAATTCGGTTATGAAATTTGTCAACTTTTCAAAAACCTATAAAGCTAAAATCCAAAAAATAATTAAATAAGATTTGAATATATTAAATAAATAGTAGATTATTAGAAAAATCATCTTATATTCTCATTATAATATTTTATTTACCATAAGAATAAAAATAATAGAATTTCTGGATTGATTTAAAAAGGGTTGTAAATGAGAAAATTAACTTCTCTTTACTTGCGATTTTGTGTAACGATACATTTTCTTACTAAATATAACAAAATTTTAATCTTTTTATTTCGTAACCATTTTATATTTATCGGGTAAAGCTATGTAACAAAATTTTAATCTTTTTTTTTTGGGAAATAATTACTTCTGACAATATTTTAAAAAACAACAAAAAGACCAAACAATCGTTCTAGAAAAACATCCAAACACCAAACACAAGACGATCAAAGTTGGTGACAACAACAAACCAATTTGTTATCAATCGGAACAGACACAAGGAAACAGAGTAAAGCAGCATGCTAAAAGTGATGCACACAACCTTGCTCCACCAAAACCCCCAAAACTGAAAGGAGATCTTCCACCAGCTTTCCTTAACGAACCACACCATGAGAAATCGTAACTTTCCCCAACTGATTGGCCTTCCCGTCTGACCCTATTTGCATACCAAGCCATATCTAAATCACTTTTCAACCTATGCATTCTCACTTGATTTTAATCATGGTTCTAAGTAACTCGTTATAGCGCGTTATGGCTTCAAGGCTTGGGTTCGTCACCACGTTAACCCTTTTAGCTCCACTCTAAGTCTTGGCTTGAATTGTAATGCGGTATGGCATGTTACGACGCATTATTTTGTAAGGTGTGAGGTTACTTTAATATATAACTTGAGGATAAATGATAATTATGTACGAAACCTAGGATTTAAATAAACATAAAAAAAGATTCTTAAAAACTAAACCTTAAATATGTAAATAGTTACTCATTTCAAGGGATACACATCTCTATGACATATTTCATCATTTTCTTATTCATGCACACCGAAATCCCAATGCCTGAGAAATTGAACTTTGTACATGATTAAGAAAGCAAGAAGAAAACATTTATGGAAAATAGAGTAGAGAGTTGGAGGTGGAATTAGTTGCAAGTTGATTGCCGGAAATTGGTTTCCGGGTGAGTTTTGGGTGTTAGCGGTGGTCGAAGGAGGTGAGGAAGATGATGAAGTAACCATGGTGGAGGAGAGATGGAAGAGAGGGGGCTTGAGATGATGGTTTTTGGTCGAGTTTTCGGCGTTGGCAGTGGTGGCATGAGGTGGGGAACATGATGAAGCAACGATGGTGAAGGAAACACGGAGGAGAGGGGACTGGAGACGGTGGTTTTTAGGCGAGTTTTCGACGTTGACAGTAGTGGCAGAAGGTGGGGAAGGTGATAAAGCAACCATGGTGGAAGAGGATTATAGTTATAGATCTGGTGCACACCGTATACATTGTCATCCCACCACAAAACCACTATTATGATTACAGATATAGTGGAAGAGGATTTAGTTACTGTGCACATTGTCATTCCACCACAGAACCACCATCTGCAAACCATGCACAATGTGTAGTGTGCGCTATATGTTCACAAAAATTGGGTGGTAGTCGAACGTGTTGGGGACAATTGTCTTTTGTGCACATTGTGTTAACAAAAATTGGGTTGGAGGTGTTCAAACGGATTGGGGACGAAGGAGAGGTGATAGAGAAGAGAGAAGATTTGTAAATATGCATAATGTCCTTTATTTTATTTTTTTAATTAAAAATTACAAAATTAATAACTTCATAATTTAATATCATTTAGTGGTTAAAAGTGGATCTCATGATCCTACAAATTATCAATTTCTTAAAAGAATGCCCATATATACATACATACATACCTACGTATATACGTACCTATGTACCTACCTACGTATGTACGTACATATAAGGAGACTTTCTTTTGAGAACCCATAAATTGTGATAACCTTGAGAACTTTTACATCTTGTGTTATTTCATATAATTTTTTCTATCTAAGATTATGATTTAGAATATTGATTAACATATACTTTTTTTTCACAATGAGTTTGTTTCACATGTGCTTGGTTCACAATGTGAACCTTTTTTACGTGTTTGTGAATAAAAAAATACACGTAAAAAAGTTTCACATTATGAAACGAATACATATAAAACAAACACAATGTAAAACAAATATATGTTAATCAATACATTAAATAGTATGCCTGGATAGAAAAAAATCATATGAAATAAAACATGATGCACAAGCTATCCAAGTTATCACAATCTAATAGTTTCTCAAATGATTAAACCCCTATATATGCCACATGCCTTGAAAAACCCCTTACATCATTTAAAACATTGATTTTAATGTAATGTTTTTTCCATAATCAAATTATAATGTAACTTATAACTTAATCACCAAAATATACCATACAAATTAAAGAAAAATAATTCATTCAATCGCTGTAAACTTAGTGGGTATTTGAGATCACTTATCTAAAGTGTTTATTGACTTATTCTGGTGTGGTAATGGTAATAAACACTTTTTAGTGTTTGGACGGGAAAAAAAAGAGAATGCTTATACTATTGTCAAACCGGTATTAAAAAGTTTTTGATAAGTTACTCTCTTCTAACTTATCTGAAACAACTTATTAGATTTGAAAACGAAATTACCTTTTTAACCCTAATAAACCTTCCCTCCCTCTGTCGCAGTCCCTAGTAGCCATTCACGTCTCTGCTTTCGCCGCCATCCCTAGTTGACGTTTTCTTCCGAGTCAGCCGTTCACGTCTCCGCTTTCGCCGCCGTCCCTAGTCGGCGTTTTCCTCTGGTGCTGCCCTCTCCGACATGTTAGCAGATCACATTGTATCTTTATAATGAATTGTTATTAGGCTTAGTTTATTAGCCCGTATAGCGTTTGGCTCGTGGCCAATCTGTTGTATATTTAAATGATTGTATATTGTTTAATTAAACAAAGAAATAATTTTCCCTAATCTCTAATATGGTATCAAAGCAAAATTAGAATCCCTTCCTAATTCCTCTCAACCTCCTCCCTTCTTTCTCTCTTTCGGCAATCTAATATGGCATCGATGTCTCTAAACGACCCGGGCTTCACAGATTGGTACATGGACACCGGGGCAAACGACCACGTCCACGCAAACTCAGGTATTCTAAAATCTTTTCTTGAAACTCATGATACTCGTTCTATCCTTGTCGGTAATGGATCCAAAATACATGTAATACACACTGGACATGCCCCTTTTCCCATCACAAAACCGTACCGTCCTTTGCATCTTAGACATATCCTCATATCTCCCACTATTATCAAAAATCTCATATATGTCCGTCAATTTACTCGTCAAAATAAAACTTCTATTGAGTTTGACAGTTTTGGTTTTACTGTTAAGGACTACAAGACTCGACGCCCTCTAATCCGATGTGATAGCGACGGTCCCCTCTACCCGGTCAACCCCTCCAACCCTCAAGTGCTTCTCTCTACATCTCACTCCACATGGCATTCAACGGCTCGGTCACCCCAACGATCAAGTCTTGAAGTCATTAGTTTCAAATAATTTTATTTCTTGTCATAGTGATAAAACTAGTGTTATTTGCAATTTTTGTCAACTTGGAAAACATGTTAAGCTTCCGTTTTTCATTTCTAATTCTATTGTTTCTCATGCTTTTGAAATAATTTACTCCGATGTTTGGACGTCACCCATCTCTAGCATTAGTGGATTCTGTTACTATGTTATTTTTCTTAGATCATTTTACTCATTACTTGTGAGTTTATCCTCTCAAACATAAGTCTGACGTTTTCAATAAATTTCATGAATTTTTCCATCTTGTTAAAACCCAATTTAACGTAACCATTAAAATTTTCCAATGCGACAACGGTGGTGAATATAATAATCAATTATTTCACAACTTTTTTGCCTCCCAAGGTATCCAATTTCGTTTCTCATGTCCTCACACGTCCCAATAAAATGGAAAATCGAAACGTATGCTTCGAACCATCAACAATGTGGTTCGCACCCTTCTTTTCCACACTCATCTCCCTCCCACCTATTGGGTCGAAGCCCTCCATATGGCTACCCATTTCTTAAACATCCTTCCCTCCACAACCATCAACTTTGAAACACCTCACTACCGGTTGTTTCAAAAACATCCTTCCTACTCTCATCTCCGCATCTTTGGTTGTCTTTGCTACCCTCACCTCACCACCTCTCACAAAATTAGCCCCTAGGAGCTCTCTTTGTATCTTC